GGCACAAATACGTTGAAGAGACGGCGGGCGCTAGCTCAAGGTAACAGCCTAAGATGGCGAGACGTGATATAACTGCCCCCGACATTTGGGAATATCCCAGTAATGTCACTAACATGGATTACCAACACTGGCTGCTCGGGATGCCTTGGCATTCCTGTTATATAAAAAGTAATTTAGCGTATTTTTTGTAAATCAGTCGGAACAACTTATCAAAGTTTCCCAGTCTTACAGAAAAAAAAACCGAACACGAAAAGAAATGGATTTCATCCAATTTAGGATTTTTCAGATATACAAATGTTTGGTGTGGTATTTATAATTGTAATGATTGCGCTGCTGTTCATCCAGATCTGGTTTCTGGATATCATTTATCGTTTCAACGAATTCCTCAAAGATCGCGAAAACACATTCTCGTTAAATTTGGACTCTGTGCTACAAGACTACGATGGTATTTTCAGTGATTTCAGTCTAACACCTGGCTACACAAAACAAAACGAATAACATCCAGTTGCTGCGACACTCATAGCAGTGTTTTCTGTAACTGTGTAAACACTATCCAGCGTCACGCGGTTACAACGAAACGATATATGAACGGATGCAAAAAATTCATTTCCGTCAGTCCTAAAAAAAATCATGATTCACTTCAGATTACGCAGTCACGTAATTATAACTTTTCGTTTTCGTTAATCCTGTAAACTCATTACTCACTTTACTATGTATTTTTCACTCCTTAAATGCACAATTTTCTGTCGGGTAGCGAAAGTCCGGGTAGCGGAAACAATTAAAAAAATTTTAAAATAAAAATTCAAGATCTCCTGCCCTGAGAGATGGAAACACTTCGAGGTAACCCAAATGGAACCACCGCTGGTAAGGGCCGTTGGATGGCTCCCTCTTTCGAGAGTTGTTCAAGAGCAGTTGATGGCGATTTTGATTTCCTGGCAGATGCCAGTACCAATTTGCCTCCAAGACGAATGAACGAATTGTAGAGGGACTTGGTGGTCGAACCCTCGTCTTTCTGCACGGTAGCAGCGCTACTTTAATAATTTTCAAAATTTTCTAGCTTATAAACTCGGAATTTTTATATTCTAATATAAAAACGTTAAGCGAAATTACCCAGGCTAAGCGAAGCTATTAAGCGAAACTATCCAGGTTTTCCTGCGCTGAAGCATTCCGGATACTTTGTTTGATATATACTTGTGCCCTCCTAAGGCACTTTTTCTTTATCGTGAAACTGGTTTTTTCAAAAAAATTTTTATTTCCTTGTTTTTAAACATCACAAAGAATTAAGCCAAAAGCAACTAAAAAAGCTGCCAGCTACTTAGTTGGAGAACCACACTATTAAT